GACCATAACAGGTTCAGCTTGTAAATATTCAGTTGGCCAAATGGGTTTTTTACTGGTGGTGGTTATTAGTTTTAAAAAAAAGCGACAAAAATCACAGTGATTTTGGTGGAAGGTTGCTCGGTTGTGCGTAATAGCACTTTTGGGTAGAGGAAAAGAAAGTAAAAAGAGGAAAAAAATGACATGAGCTGATCAAGCCATCTTTGTAATGTTTATTTGGATCCTGTTGGTAGTTGGAAAAGGATGGTCACATGACAACATTTTGTACGGCTTAAACAGACCTGAGGATAAGCAGATGAGAAGGTGAGGGAGCAGACCTAAGGGGGATACCTCTTGCCTCCCTCTCTCCGTCTCTCCAACTACCTGGCAAACTCCGAACGTGACTCCATCAGCCGGGGATACCGTTTATTTCTTAATGAGATTTCTAAAACAAATTCAGTGTTACCATATCTGGAAAAGCAACCAACGCTGTCAGCGATATCTTTAACTCAGTGGCACTGACATCATCGAATTGAGCCTAAGAGCAGCTGAATGCCTAAATGAGACTGTATCCTCCTACCCTACTTTCCTTGGACTCTAATTTAACCAATTTAACCTTACCCCACTTTGTAATCTGTGTTTGTGTGTGTGAAAACTTCATGTCTGTGCAAAAGGCAGAGTATTTTAATATTTTACTTATTATTTTATTACTGATTATTACTAATTTACAATATTTATTATTTATTTTACTGCTGCAGAAAAGGTTTGAGACCAAAGCATTGAATGTTTTCAAGAAGGAGTTAGCTATAGTTCTTGGGGCTAAAGGGATCAACGGGTCGGGGGAGAAAGCAGGAACAGGGTATTGAGTTGGATAATCAGCCATGATTGTATTGAATGGCAGAGCAGGCTTGAAGGGCTGAATGGCCTATTCTTGCTCCTATTTTGTAAATATCAGTGTTATTTCAATTGGTTTCAGTATAATAAAGCTATAAGGCTATTTTTTTATTCACACAAAATCTCGAGAAAACCTCTCTGACTGGATCTTTAATGATCTCAGTGTGTAAACAGTTATTATGACTAAATTGATAAACATATCCCTGAGAAACAATTAAAATCTGTTGTGGTCAAACGAGGAGAGGGAGAAGAGAGGATAATTCAGACTCGGGTTAGAACAGGAATACAAGTTAATTTCGGTTGGTGGAAAAGCTGCCTTTTGCGTCTAGGTGCGCCTATAAACTTTTAAAGTGTACACAATGGAACTTCTACTTGTATTTTAGTTGATTGAACCTAATGTTGTTTTGTTAAGATCTAAGCATTACATAAAAATGAACTAAATGACCCACTTGTTTCAATTTTGTAGATGAATTTATTCAGACACAAGAATGCAAAAAGGATTGAAGGCCTGGATAAGAATATGTGGTAAGTAGTAACATTTAAAATTTGAGCAAGAACAAAATAGCATTCTGTTTTACAAGTCTTCACTACTAATGAGGGTTGTCTTTGCCCGGCTGTAAACCGACTGAACACAGATCCTGTAATGTTTGTTGGATTGTAGCCTAGTTAGGTGTGTGACCACATTGGATTGTACTGCGTAACAACAGGCCTTTTGGCTCACCTATCATGTACCTGTGTTGATGTAGCCTTGCCACCAAATGAATTTATTCATTTCAACCTCTCGGGAAATGTCAGGCATATGTGTGGTAAATCTCAATGAATAAATAATCCAGAGGGCCAGGCAAATGTCCTGGAAATATGAGTTTGAATCCCAACATGATCACTACTGGAATTTGTGCAATTAGAAACCAGTCTGAGAAATGGGGCCATGAGATGATAAAGACACATATATTTCCAAACCTTCGTTCACTTCCATCTAGCAGGACAAGGGTAGTAGATATATGTAAACACCACCACCCACAAGATCTCGCTCAAGCCACTCACCTTGGAAATGTATCACGTTCCTTCATTGTCACTAGGTTATAATCCTGGAATTCCCTTCCTAATAGGGTTCTGGTTAGAATCATAGCATCATTGGATCCCTACAGTGCAGAAGCAGGCCATTTGGCCATCGAGTTCACACTGGCCCTCCAAAGAGCGTCCCATCCAGACTCACCCCATCCCCATAACGCCACATTTCCCATGGCGAATCTACCTAGCCTGTATATCCCTGGAACAATGTAGTATGGCCAATCCACATAACGTATACCTCTTTAGACAATTGGAGAAAAACCAGAACACTCAGAGGAAACCCATGCAGGTATTGGTTGGGGGTAGGGGTGGTTGCAAGATGGAAACATGCAAACTCCGCACAGAAAGTTGCCAGAAGGTGGAAGTGAACCAGGGCTCCTGGAGCTGTGAGGTAGCACCGCTAACCACTGAGCCACCGTGCTGCCCGACATGTTGTAGATTGTATGTACATGGTTGTACCTATATCAAATAGACTGCAGCAGTTCAAGAAGGCAGCTCACCATCACCTTCTGAAAGACAGCTTGGGATGGGCAGTAGAATGGTTGCTCAGCCAGAGAGCCTGTATCTCATGAATGAGTAAGTAAATTCGCTAATATATGTCAGGAAAGAAAATCTGCCTTCCTTACTGGGCATATGTGTAAGCACGGACTCACAGCAATGCAGTTGATTCTTAACTATCCTCTGAAGTGATCTAACATGCTGCTCAATTCATTAGGAATGGGCAAGAAATGCTGACCTTGCCAATGGCACCACACCCCATGAAAGAATTTTTTAAAAAACTGTGTGATTCTTATAATCACCATGGCTGCTCATTTACTAAACTCAGTTTTCTGGTAATAGTGTTATTTCAAATTGAAGTAGAGACTCGGACACCATTAATTTTTACATCCATTCATGAGATATGGCTATCATAGCCTAGGCTAGCAGTTTTTTTGATGATCCCTAATGATGGTAAGCTGCTTTCTTAAACCACTGCATGGGGGATAGTGGTGTACTGGTAATGTCACTGGATTAATAATCCAGAACCCCAGGTAATGTTCTGGTGGATGTGGGTTCAAATCCCACTGTGGCAGATGGTATAATTTAAAATCCAGAATTGGAAGCTGGTTTAATAGTGATTGTGAAAACACAGTCAATTGTTGGGAAAGGCCATCTGGTTCACTAATGCCCTTTATGGAAGGAAATTGTCTGGCCTAAATGTGACTCCAGACCCACAGCAATGTGGTTTACTCTGAATTGGCCTGGCAAGCCATTTGGAACAAGAGCAAATGGGTAATAAATGCTAGCCCAGACAGTGACACCCACATCACATGAGCAATTTTTATAATGTCCTTGGGGTGTAGGCACATCCAAAATGCTATAAGAGATTTCCAGAATTTTGATCCTATGACAATGAAGGAATGGTGATGCACTTCCCTAGAATCCCACAAGTGTAGAAAGAGGCTATTCAGCCCATCAAGTCTGCATCGAACATCCATAGAGCATCCCCCTGACCTCCATAACCCTGCATAGGGTATTTACCATGACTAACCCACCTAAGTGCTCTGTTCATTAAGAATGGCTGAAGACGTTCTGAAGAAGAGTCATTCCAGACTTGAAACGTTAACTCTGCTTCTGTCTCCATCAATGCTCTGCTGAGTTTCTCCAGCACTTCTGGTATTTATTACAATACACACTGGCCTAGACAGTGACTCCATCGTCCTGCGAATGAATGGACAAAAACACAGCAGATCTGGAAAGAGAAACAGAGTTAACTTTTCTTTCTCCAAAAATGTTGCCAGACCTCCTGAATATTTTCTCTTTTCATTTCTGACTTCCAGCATCTGCAGTAGTTTGTTTTTATGATAGAATTTCATGTTCAGTTTGAAAGGAGAAGCGCGGCATAAGATCTGCATCCATTGCACGCGTGCCATCTTTGAAAGGCTCCTGAGCATCTCAATGAGCATTGGCAATCCAGTGTTGCCTCTCACCAGCAGCATAATGCCACAGCGAGCACAAAGCCACGCCTCACACAACACACAACTAGCTTGGCTGACACACCCTCACACATATATCTCCAGTCTGTCTCTCACTCTACTCACCAGGCCACAGACGGTACCTGTTTGTAGCTACATCCTGTGTGAACACTCTCTACGTCACCGCTACCCTGTCCCCGATGCCCACTCCACATTCGCAGCTTGTCATTGCCCAGTAGATGAACATTACGTACGGGCAAACAACCAGACAGTTCCAAACATGAGCTTTTATTTGCAAACAGCAAAAGCAAACACAAACAGAATCAATAGAGGCTAAAGTTTGTCCCAAAAATACAAATTTCGGCATCACCACCAATGACTATTTCCCAGTCCATGATGGTCTGCAGCAGCTGGCTCTCATCCATTGGAAGGCGCTGTCTATCAGGCCCTGTCTGGTGTGTAGCACCCCTCATAGCTGAGCTCTGTCATCGACAAGGACAGCTTCCTCGTCCCACGTCCTCATCCACCTCTGATGACTGCTGCTGCTCTCTTAGTCCCTCAGCATTCAGCACATTGTCTTGTTGCCTTTCCCAATTGTAGAGTACCGCACACCATAACGATTTGGTACACTCTGTCCAGACTATACTAGAGGGCACCCTTCCTACCCTGGACCTACATCAAACGCCCAACTTCCAGACTGGTTCACACAGAGGAACCACAGAACTCCACCATGACTTTTGTTGAGGTACTGGGTGGCATTGTATCAGTGCTCCACATTAATCAGGAGATTTTACAATGGTGTCATGAGGCATGGTTGCACTTTTCTCCTGGTGACCAGCCTTGTAAGGCACCGAGATCCTCAAATATGCCAGGGACACCAGAGTGTTGCAGGACATATGAATCTTGGCAGCTGCCAGGCTGGTAGGCACACACCTTCATATAACAGTGATCACCTGAACATTGACCAAATGAAACACTGTCCTGTGATGAATTCTCAGTGTTGTGATATGGCCTCTTCAGTACCACATGTGTACAGTTGAAAGCCTGGGGGAAGCACAGCTATGTTCCTGGAATCTGCTGCCTGGGTTACAGCACTGACCTCATCACAGGGGACTGAAGTGAACTGGTGTGATCTTGCATAGTTGACATCATTCTCTGGCTTGATGCATTGTGGGAGTACAACTGCGAGATCCCAAACAGGGTCATTTGTTGCTCCCTGGAAGGAGCGAATCACATTGACATTCAGAACAGCAAGTACATTCAGAGGGGAGAATGGTCTCCCATTTCTACAGACCTTAAGTCTTGTTGCAGTATCTGGCAGAATGTGCTGGGACATACAGATCCCACATCAACACTATGTCTTGCTTGTGGCCAGGAAATGGAGTCTGGGCCTCCTGTGAACCCATGCCTCTTGAGAAACTCCGTGGCAGTGACCTTCCCCTGGGCTGGGTGCTCCTTGTTCTCTGTGGGGGCTTGCTGCTGTTCCTAGACTTGCCGTTGATCATGATCCTCCTGTATCCACCTTCACTTTCAAAGGAAGACAGCCACAGTGAACTATATCCCACTAATGACAAGAGTCGAGACTCTTGGTGGAAATGACCCAGTTTGAGAACACAAAAACAGTTCTTGGATCTCAGTGGAGTCATTGGTGGCGCACCCTGCAAATGAGGGCTGGGCATGCTTCTCCACACAGAGAGAGACTTGCTGCACCCTGATAACGAAGGATATATCTATACCATCCATCACACACCGCCTCAGTCAGTGTAACAACTTGGTGACAAAGCCACGCCAGCTGGTTGACCGCCTAATATCATCGAAAAGGGGGTTATCTGCACCACTCTGACACCCTTCCTACCCCAGACCTACATCAAACGTCCAACTTCTCCGTGCATTCAGTAAGACCATTGTAACATATGGAAAAGAGATGATAAAGAGGCAATGTGCAGTTCACCCAATACACTTGGAGGTTGCACAAATAATTGATCCCCTTTGGCCAGCATTAGCATTTAGTAACATCATTGCTGCTAACTGCAAAGTCATTGATGTGCCCATGTTTAATGTTCAGCCAGTTATAGCATGTAGCAAATTGCCTTTGACTAGCGTCGGACCCTGAAATACCTTCACTCTGACGCTACACGAATCAGCGATGATCTGATTGCGGCATAGACATAGCTGGGCTTTGCAAATGGCTGCTTTATATACAATATTTATTCCTTCAGCATCCTAGTGTCCTGACCACTTGGAACCCAAGTTTTTGCTCATCAAAGTGACAGTAACTCCACCCACCCAGGAATTGACCATTTTCTGGTAGTACTGTGCATTTACTGAACAGAAAGTGATGGTAGGAATCTCCATTATCCTCCCCAATCCCCAGAACCGCCCACAACCCTGCTCACCACGTGGTCTCCTCTACATTGGGGTAAACGAAGCATGGACTGGGTGACCGCCTCTCAGAATATATACATTCTGCTCACAAAAAAGACCCTGAGCTTCCAGCTGCCTTCCACTTTAACGCACCACCCTGCTCCCTGGCCAACATCTCCGTCTCTGGCTTGCTGCAAAGCTCAGCGCAAGCTGGAGGAACAACACCTCATTTTCCGCTTCGGGATCCTGCAGCACCCCCCTGGACTCAAAATCGAGCTCAATAACTTTAGGGCCTAAACTCTTCCATGTCCCAGTCCCCTACCCCACACACCAGGCCTTGTTATCACTTAGCCTGTCATTATACACCCCCTGTTGTTAGTCACGAACAGTCCCAGTAACAGCTATTCACCCTCCTAGCCAGATCGTTATCCACTCCTTTGTCTATCCGACGGCTCTTCTCTCACTTCGGGTTCTATCCCCACCTATTGTTTACTCCCTGCCCCCTCCCTATCTTCTGCATATAATCTGACGTTTTCCCAGCTGCCACCAGGTTCTGAGGAAGGGTCACCGGACCCAAAACGTTAACTCTGATTTTTTCCTCACAGGTGTTGCCAGACCTGCTGAGATTTTCCAGCAACTTCTGTTTTTATGGCCTCCTGAAGCCGTGGCCTCTGCACACCCCATTCACCTTGAGTTCCCACCACCACCACTGTCCTTGTCCCTACGTGGCTCGGTGGTTAACACTGCGGCCTCACTGTGCCGGGGACCTGTGTCCAATTCCACCCTTGGGTGACTGTGTGGAGTTAGCATGTTCTCCCCATGTCTGTGTGGGTTTCCTTTGGGTGCTTTGATTTCCTCTCACAGTCCAAAGATGTGCAGGTTAGGGGGATTGGCCATGCTGAAATGTCCAGATTTATGTAGGCTACTTGGATTAGCCATGGGAAATGCAGGGTTATAGGGATAGGGTAGGAGGTTGGGTCTGGGTGGGATGCTCTTTGATGGGTCAAATGGCCTTCTTCTTCACTGTAGGGATTCTGTGATTCTCTACAGGTGCCTCTGTTTCTCTGTAGCCTTGACTCCCTGCCCTTTTTTATTTAGCAGTGATGTTCCATCACTGTTGCCCCTATAGGCACCTCCTTGCACCCTGAACGAAGAGTGGACCCAGAATCTTATTTGCACCAGATCTCTCTGACCAACTTTGAGCAGCCCCAAGACACGAGTGACTAGACCCCTGACCACTGTCGTTGAAGCTCCCTGACTGACAGTACATGAATCCCCTGACAGCATATAAGGGCTTTATCAGACTGACCACTGCCTGCTCCCTAGCTGTTCTGGGAAATGTCTCCTGAATGTGAGCTTCCCAAGTAGATGTGGCCAAGCCCCTGCACAATATACAGACTGTGCCAGTGACTGGCTATGCTGGGAACTCCTGACCAACGTTGCCTATTGGCCTTTTAATCTAGAACATTGTTTGGTGTTTTTGTTATGGCACCATCCTGCCTAATTAAGTACCCTTCCCAGCTCCAAGCTCGTCACCTCCAGGAACAGAAGATTGAGCTGTAGGTTTTTAATTTATTAACTTAATTAATTAAATTTAAAATCCCAATGCTGACATGCTGGAACTTGAACTCAGTTTTCAGATCATTAGTCTAAGCCTCGTGATTACTATTTCAGTACAATGTAACTGTCTTGGTACACTGTCAAGTTCCATTTACTTTGATTTCTAAATAAGTACTCAGTAGACTTGCTTCTTTTATGCTTGAAAGTAAGTAATAGTCTACATTGAGTGCATGGTAGAAAGGCCCGACATACTCCTGTTTATTATCCTTTATTCTATTGTGGGTATTGCTGGCTGAGTTGACATCCCTAACTGCCCAGAGAACAGTTAGGCATTAACCACATTGTTGTGGATCTGGAATCATATGTAGACCAGACAAGGTAAGGATGGCAGATTTCCGAAAGGACTTTAGTGAGCTAGATGATTTCCTCTATGATGGTCACCATTGAGGTAACTTTCTCTTTATTCCAGTTTTATTTTTGCATTAATTCCAAATTCACCACCTACCATGGTAGGATTCAAACCCATGTCTCCAAGACATTGGTCTTCGGTGCTGTAGTCCCAGTCCATTGACCTTATCATTACTGCGCCACCCATGCATTCACCTGTTTTGGGTCCGATGCAGAATTTGCACTTGAACCTGTCCTAACCTGGCTTTCTGTACTGCAGGTCCAATGAGTAGATGTTCCACCAATAACTTGGTTCGTTAAAGCATTTCTTTTTTTACCTTTTTAACAACACCCTCCCAGCCTGATCGTTAGCAACTCATTTGTCTGTCCAACTGTCTTTCTCTCTCTTTGGGCTCTATCGTATCATTTACTCCCTACCCCACCCTCCTCCCTATTTTCTGCATATAAACTGATGTTTTCCCAGCCACCATCAGTTCTGAGGGAGGGTCACCGGACCCAAAACGTTAACTCTGTTTTCTCCTTCACAGATGCTGCCAGACCTGCTGAGCTTTTCCAGCAACTTTGTTTTTGTTCCTTTTTTTTCAGGGTTGAATTGACTAAGTTGGCTGCTGCACCAGGGGTGGTTAATCTTGGTCAGGGATTCCCAGACATACCGCCTCCTCCCTATATAACGGAAGCCTTGGCTAACGCTGCAGTGGGTGAAAACTTCATGTTGAACCAGTACACAAGAGGATTTGTAAGTTCTTCACATGATTCTTTTTACCTAACCCCATTTTCCACTCGATAGTGCTGAGCTGTGTAATGGTACTTTATGCTATCATTAGATTTTTAAAAATCATTACAAATTAATGTTTTAATGACGATAGCTCGGGTTGTGGTTGGAGTTGTTGGTTGGTTCGCCGAGCTGACTGGTTTTCATGCCAACGATTCGTCTCCCTTCTAGGTGACATCGTCAGTGCTGTGTAGCCTCTGTTGAAGCGCTGTTGTTCTGTCCCACTCTGAATTTATATGGCCCAGTCTGTCGTGGTGGGCAGTCTTGTTTCTGGTTTTGTACCATAGTGGAATGTAGATGGGGTCTATTTCAACATGTTTGTTAATTGCGTCAGTGGTTGAAAACCAGACCTCCAGGAATGCTTGTGCTTGTCTTTGTCTTGCTTGTCTTAGTACTGTAACTTTGTCCCAGTCAAATTGATGTCCTTCTATGTTGAAGTGTATTGAAACGAGGGAGAATTGATTGTGCTGTTTTGCTGCAAGTTGGTGTTCATATATCCTGGTGGCGAGTTTCCTGCCCGTCTGTCCTGTGTAGTGTTTCTTGCAGTTGCTGCATTTTATTTTATATATCACATTTGCCCTGCTCATTGTGGGTATGGGGTCTTTCATCTTTGAGAGTAACTGGTGAAATGTGGCTGTTGGTTTGTGTGCTATCCTTATTCTAAGAGGTCGCAGGAGTCTTGTAGTCAGTCCTGATGTGTTTCTAACATAGGGTGGGATGGCCATAGTGGTGGTCTCGGTGTTGTTTGTTTGCCAGGCATTGGCGGACAAAGCTGTTAGGTTAAACATTGTTTGCAAAGACTCTGTATAGATGTTCCTCTTTGCTCCGGGGTGTTGCAGTGAGTTATCGTTTGTTTAAACAGAGTCTTGACACAGCTCTGTTTGTGGATACTGGGGTGGTTACCGTTGTAATTCTAAACGTAATGGTGGAACAAACGAACAGTGGTGAATTTCTTAACAGCGAATACAGAAAGACTACGCACACAGACCAAATCCTGAATTACAACAGCAACCACCCCAGCGTCCACAAACAGAGCTGTGTCAAGACTTTGTTTAAACAAACGATACCTCACTGCAACACCCCGGAGCTGCACAAAAACAAAGAGGAACATCTATACAGAGTCTTTGCAAACAGTGGTTATCCTAACAGCTTTGTCTGCCAATGCCTGGCAAACAAACAACACCGAGACCACCCCTATGGCCACCCTACCCTATGTTAGAAACACATCAGAACTGACTACAAGACTCCTGCGACCTCTTGAAATAAGGATAGCACACAAACCAACAGCCACATTTTGCCAGTTACTCTCAAAGACAAAAGACCCCATACCCACAAAGAGCAGGACAAATGTGATATATAAAATAAAACGCAGCAACTGCGAGAAACACTACATATGACAGCCGTCAGGAAGCTTGCCACTAGAATACATGAACACCAACTTGCAACAAAACAGCATGACCAACTTTCCCTCGTTTCAATACACTACAACAAAGAAGACATCAACTTGACTGGGACAAAGTTAAAGTAGTAGGACAAGCAAGACAAAGACAAACACGAGAATTCCTAGAGATCTGGTTTTCAACCACCGATGCAATTAACAAACATGTTGAAATAGACCCCATCTATATTCCACTATGGTACAAAACTGGAAACAAGACTGCCCACCATGACAGACTGGGCCATATAAATTCAGAGCAGGACAGAACAACAGCGCTTCAACGGAGGCTACACAGCACTAATAATGTCATTTAGAAGGGAGGTGAAACATTTGCATGAAAACCAGTCAGCTCGGCGAACCAACCAACAATTACTAATTAATGCAAAGTGAAGTTCTGGCAAGACCAGCATTTGTCATCTCTGAATTACTGCGAATTCTTGGTAGATTACTGCAGTCACCAATCAGGAATTAACCAAGATTGTGGTTAACTGCTGGTTATGTATAAAGTAGACTTGGCAAAACAGCCAGACTCTCTCCCCCAAAACACACCAGTGAACCACTGGCATTTTGTAACGAGCTTCATAGTGGTATCTGAAACCCCATTCTCCAGACCATTAGTCCACACCTCTGGATTACCACAATACCTTGTACAATATTAAATTTAATGCATACAGTGAACAGACGTGTATCATCTGCTTGGTGCTGTATCCTATTTTAAACAAAATTTTGTTCATCAGTAACTTCATTTTTCTGCTTGTATCACACCCAAGGCTTGGAAAAATCAAAAGAAACCATTCCCTTTTTAAATATTTGGAAGACTAAAGCCATTTGCTTCAATCCCCTCTATTCCTTAGCTACTACCTCTCCCTGGCAATTGTTTGAGATTCAACCAGGCTTTGCTGGATCTCGATACAATATTTGACTATGCTGAGCTTACAATCATGTTTTTGCTACACCCCAGCCATTTCTATCTCTGGAGCTTCATTGGATACCTCTCTTGCTTCAGCTCATCTGTCCCTGAAATCCTCATCCATACCTTTCTAACCTCCAACTTTGATGAAAAATAACAGGAGTAGGCCATTCAGTCCCATTAGCCTGTTCCACCCTTTGATGAGATCATGTCTGATCTGTGGCCTGACTCTGTATACCTGCACTCGGCCCTTTCCCCTTTACAAAAATCTAACTATCTCAGATTTTAAATTAACAACTGACTCAGTATCTGATGATGTTTGTGGAAGAGAGTTCCAAACATCTACCAAACTTTGTGCTTCCTAACATCTCTCCTGTACAGCCTGGCCCTAATTCAGACAATGCCTCCTAGCTCTAGAATCCCCAACCAGCGGAAATAGTTTATCTTTAAATATCATATCTTTTCCTGTTATTCGCTTGACGACTTTGATCAGATCACACCTTAAACTTCTAAATTCTAGGGAAAACAGACCTAATTTGTATAATCTCTCTTCATTACTTAACCATTTAAGTCTAGGTATCATTCTTCTAAAACTATATTGCACTCCTTTCAAGGCCAATATATCCTTCTTAAGGTCTGCTGACAGTACTCCAAGTGGGGTCCAACCAGGATTTTGTATAACTGCAGTGTAACCTCTGCATCCTTATACTCCAGTCTTCCAGGTTTAAATGCCAACATTCCATTCACAGAGAGTGGTATGAAATTCGCTGTCATAGAAAACTGTTGAGGCCAAAACATTGAAGACTTGCAAGAAAGGTGTAGATGTACTTCTTGGGACTGGGAGAATCTAAGGATATGGACCCAAGGGAACTGAATAGCCTATTCCTGTTCCTGTGTTCTTAAGAAATTACACTTCATCTCTGTCCTACCTAGCGCTTATCCTTAGATTGTGAGAACATCCTTATCGCATCTACACGGTCTTAGAATTTTATAGGTTTCCATCAGATTCACCCTCATTCTTTTAAAACTCCCTTGAACAACATCCTAACTAATCCAGTCTCTCCCTGTACATCGTCCTGCCATCCCAGGAATCAGCCTGGTAAACTTCCTTTGCACATCCTCAGTAGGTAGAAGATCCTTCCTCCAATAAGGAGACCAAAACTACACACAATACTCTAGCCACAGTCTTAAATTGCAGCAAGACATCACTACTCCTGTATGTGAATCCTCTTGCTATAAAGGCCAACATACCACCTTCACCATTTGTTGTACCTGCATACTTAGTTCCAGTGACTAGTGAACAAGGACACCCAGGTCTCAGTGCACCTCCCCCTTTCCCAATCTATCGCCATTCAGATAATATGCTGCTTGCCTGTTTTTTGCAACCAAAGTGGATAACCTCACATTTAACCACATTATACTGCAGCTGTACTGTATTTGCCCATTTATTTAACTTGCCTAAATCACTCAGTAGCCTCTTTACATCCTCCTCACAGTGTACCTTTCCATCCAGCTTTGTGTTGACTGAAACCTCGGAGATGTGACATGTACTTTCCTCATCTAAATCTTTAATATACAATGTGAATTGCAAAAAACACCACCCGACCGAGACCTGAATCTGTTGTGCAGATTAGAGTACTTTCAAACTTAGACCAATCCTGGGAACAGTGGCTAGATTTGGGAAACCGATGACATAGGGGCCCACGCTTCTCCAGGTTTCTTCCTAAGACCGATTCATTCACTATCACGCCATGACTCCCATCACAAATGTCCTGCCATAGATGTAACTGAAAGGTTCAAAGTCAGTTCACCTCTTTGGATACAGTGGAAGTGAAGCAGTCACCAATTAAATGATTGGCTGTTGGTGGATTTTACCTGACGTTTCTATTAATAGACAGCAAGAAATTGACCATGAAGAATTAAAGACCATCACATCATATCTCCAATTATAGATTTGTATATTGTGTGTTCCATCAGAGCCTCTACAATGACATATCTTTTGGCTACTAACAAAGATGAGCAGATAGATGCCACCTCTGCCTTGGATTCCCCCATGGACACTGTTTCCTTCTATCGAAGAGCTACCAATTTAGGAAAAATACCCTTGTTATGTCTGGGTCAATGGAATGATGTTCAAGTTATGGATGTGTCATGCTTCATTTTAACTACTTGTCGCATGTTCATTAAATCTCCCACCCTCTTTCAAGGCAATCTTCAGCAATTTAATTATGTTCTTTAATCTTTTTCTCTTGTAATTTTGCTGTCTCAATGTGATCATTTCCGTGGGTCTAGTAATACCAGGTTTCTACTTCCAAAGCTGGTAACGTATGAATTCCCATTGGAGTCAGTGGGAGGAGTGTGTCAGAGCAGAGATTTCATTATAAGAGCGGAATTAGGCCATTCAGCCCATTGATTGTGCTGAAATGTTTCAGAACTTGATTCTCCTGCCTTCTCCCTGCAACCCTTGATTCCTGGCACTAGTTTAGTTTGGGAAACTTGGTCACCATGGACTAGTCGAACCAAAGGGTCTGTTTCTGTGCTGTATGACTCTATGCCTCAATGATGTGGCCTCCACAGCTTTCTGCAGCAATGAGTTACTCAGATTAACCATCCTCTAGGTGAAGAAGTTCCTCCTCATCTCAGTCTAAAGGGTCACTCCTTCAGTCTGAGGCTGTGCCCTCAGGTCCTAGTCTCTTCTATTAGTGGAAACATCTTCTCCACGTCCTGTCTATCCAGGCCTGTCAGTGTTCTGTAAGTTTCAATCAGAATCCCCTCCTCAGTCTTCTAAACTCCATCAAGTACAGATCCAGAGTCCTCAACCGCTCTTCTAATAACAAGCCCTTCATCCGCGGAATTATTCTTATAAACCTCCTCTGAGCCCCCTCCAATGCTAGCACATCCTTCCTTCAATATTGTGCCCAAGACTGCTCACAATATTCCAAATGCAGTTTGACCACAACTTTATACAGCCTCAGCACTACATGCTTGCTGTTAGATTCTAGCCCTCTTGAAATGAATGCTAACATTGCATTTGCCTTCCTAACTGCCAACTTAACCTGCATGTTAACCTTAAGAGATTCCTGAATAAGGTGTCCCAAATCCCTTTGTGCTTCAGATTTCCCAAGTGTTTCCCCATTTTGAAAATATTCCATGCCTCTATTCTTCCTACAGGAATGCATAACCTCACACTTTGCCACCTTGTATTCCATCTGCCACTTCTTTGTCCATTCTCCTTGCCTGTCCAAGTCCTACTGCAACCTCCCTGCCTCCTCAACATTTCCTGTCCCTCCACCTATCTCTGTGTAACCTACAAACCTAGTCACAATGCCCTCAGTTCCTTCATCCAGATCATTCATGTAAAACGTGAATAATTGCGGTTCCAACACTTAACTGTGCTGAATTCCACTAATCACCGACTACCATCCTGAAAAAGAGCCCTTTACCCCTACTCTCTGCCTTCTGCCAGTCAACCAATCCATGCCAATAACTTGTCCCTACCACCAAGGGGTCTTTTATCTTATTTAGCAGGCTCCTTTATGGCACCTTGTCAAAGGCTTTCTAGAAACCCAAATAGATTGCATCCATTGGCTCTCCTTTGTCTAACTTGCTCATTACCTCCTCAAAGAATTCTAACAGATTTGTCAGGCATGACGTCCCCTTGATGAAGCTGTACTGTTTCAGCCCAATGCACTGTCTAAGTGCTCTGTAAACTCATCCTCAATAATGGACTCTTTATTCTTACCACCAACGGAGATCAGGCTAACTGGTCTACATTTTCCTGTCTTGTGCCTCCCTCCCTTCTTAAACAGGCATGTTACATTAGCCATTTTCCAGGCCTCTGGGACCCTCCTTGATTCAAAGATTCCTGAAAGATCATCACCAATGCCTCTATAATTCCCTCAGGTATCTCCTTCAGAACTCTGAGGCATAGTCTGTCTTGTCCAGGTGATTTATCCACCTTCAGGCCCTTCAGTTTCCCCAATATCTTTTTCTTAGTGATGGCCACTACGTTCACCTCTGTCCCCTGACTTTCTTGAAGTTCTGGTATCCACTGGTGTCTTCCACTGTGAAGACTGATGTAAAATACCCATTATGTTCCTCTGCCATTTCTTTGTTCCCCATTATTACTTCTCTAGTCTCATTTAACGTGGTCCGATGTCCAGTCTTGCCTCTCTCTGGCCTTATGTATATATCTAAAAAAACCTCTTGCAATCTTCTTTTATATTACTAGCTAGCTTACCCTCATATTTCATCTTTTCCCGACTTATTTTTTTAGTTGTCCTCAGTTTTTTAAATGCTTCCCATTCCCCTTGCTTCCCACTAAACTTCACCACATTGTACATTTTTTCTTTTGCTTTCTATGCTTTCCCTGACTTCACTTGTCAGCCATGGTTTCCTCATCCTTCGCTTCGTACGTTCTTCTTCCTTGGGATAAATTTCTGCTGTGCCTTCTGAATTATCCCCAGAAACTCCTGCCATTGCTAATCCACCGTTTTCCCTGCTAGGGTCCCCTTCTGGCCAGCTCCTCCCTCATGTCTTTGTAGTTACCTTTACTCAATTGTAATACTGTTACATCTGATTCCAGCTTCTCCCTTTCAAACAGCAGGGTGAATTATATCAGAGATAGTAGGAACTGCCGATGCTGGAGAATCTGAGATAACAAGGTGTAGAGCTGGATGAACACAGCAGGCCAAGCAGCATCAGAGGAGTAGGAAAGCTGACGTTTCGGGTCTGGACCCTT